TCTTATGGCCCATCTAATGTCAGTGCCCCCTCCTCTCCCCTGCAGCCACCACTGACCGACACATGACTGGACCAAAGCAGGCTGAATACAGGTAAGTATATAAACAGGTTAATCGGCATAGGTGTTAGGAGGGGGTAGGGAGCATTTTTAAGACTAGTTAGCTTTAGCCTGGAACTCTACTTTAACATTACAGAAAAGAACAGGTAAAAAGGTAAGCAGTTTTTTTTTTTAAGTTATGCTATGTGAATGGAAACACAACTATAAAGTGGGTGTGATTCTAATTTGGCTGCAGGAGTATAAATACACATTAAAGCATGTGTGTGCTTAACATTGTCAAGTAGCAGAGTCAAGTCGCTGTTTACATTGCTCTTAAAGTGGAAAACTAAACATACTAATATCTCAAAATTCCAAAATTTGTTTCTAACTTTCTAAATATGCAGCTTCTATTTATCCTATTGATCCTGCCATGAATGTCATTGTTCAGTCACTTCCTTGCTTTAGCAAACTAAGGGTACTTGCACATGGTACTGAGGTTTGAACATCGGTCATCCTGGCTGAAATATCAGGCATTTATTTTGCGGGTATTTGAGTGTACAAGCATACATAAGTAAAATTAATTCTATCCCCCAAAGTGCAATTCTAACCTCTTCAAATTAACATTTTATTTGTGTACAATACTGACTGACAACTCAGATTTCTGCATTCTTTTACTCATCTACTGTATATGCAGTGCATGTTCACACACCTGTGTGTACAGGCAGATTGAAAACAATGGGCTGCATTAGATCAATAATATAAAGAAATGCCTCTATACTTAAAAACACAGAATGCAAGAGGCCTACATGTCATTCAGGTAGAGTTCAAACCTGCTTCAACTATGCTGCTGGGTTATTTGATGCCATTATATTGAGGCTGGTAAGTAACACTTAGGGGCCTATTTTGTTTTTCACACACAGGAGACTACTTTCACCCTAGATTTACACATTTTTAAAATGTAATCTGTTGGCTGCCTTTAATGCCACTAGGAGAAGTTAATCTTCACCATGTCTTAACACAGGTCCCTAAGTGCATTCTGTCATGATCTTATTAACATTGACTGATCAAGCCCTGAAGGGGGGGGGGGGGGTCTTTTGTTCCTGAAACGTGTTGGCAGTATTTGATGCTCTTAACCATTAAATGTTTCAGAAAGTCCTTTAAATGAAATGAACTTTTGTACTAGGTGTTCCTCCATACCATTTGAGGAGTGCTTCCAGAGAGGTAGAATTTTAACACCACCTTTTTGGTTGAACTGGATGGACCTTTGTCTTTTTTCAGCCAGACTAACTATGTAACTATGTAGCACCTGAGGATATTCCATCCCATATTATATTTTAATCACATATCTGCTTATTTCAAGGAAAAATCACTTTACAGTAGATCTGTTGGAACCAAATTTAATTTCTATCTGTCCAGGGCTATCACACACAAATCTGGCTGGGTGAAAGTTGTGTGCTTCTTGTGCGAAAAACTGTGTAAATAGACCCCTAAAACAAAGGGGGAAATAACACATTTTCCATAGGCAAGCCTGCAAAATTATAATAGAAAAGGAATTAATGTTCAATTTTTGCATATGCTCAGCTGTGATTTTATGTAACACTCAATACTAATACTCACTGATGTTAGCAACAATGTTCACACAACTGTAAATTATTTTCTAATTTTCCTCCTGACCTTTTATTTATATTGGTTTGGGGTGAAAATCACCAAATAACTGAAATTTTAATCTGGCTTTGCAAGCAGTACTTGTACTACAAGCAATGGATGGGAAGTTCCAGACATGAGGGCCAAATGTGGGCTCTAGGCAGCCGGTTATGAATTTATTAACATTTCTTCATTTGCTGTTGGCTTACAACCTACAATACCACACACCAAAGTGTCATTTAAAAAAATACTCAATATTGTAGCCACCCCCAAATTTTTAATATAAGAAAACATTTTTTTTCCTAACAGCAGTGAAGAAATTAAATAGCTCACATGGGTATGCAGTTGAATTTTGATATGGATATAAAATGAATGTGTCAAGTAGTACACAAAAAATTGTCATGGCATAATATGCACACAATAGTTTTTATCATGACGCCATGCACAAATACTACATGAATGGTTCTCAGCTCAATCCTTCGCTAAGAGTGAAATAAGAAGCAATATAACCCCCTGAAGTAAACATTTAGTGTACAATTAGAGAGAATGTGTAGTATACAGACTTTACGTAGTGCAGTATCATTGTGCATGTGGGTAACATTACCTCCACATTGACTTTGCATTGGTTCTCCATTAAACAATACAGAAAGAATAACCATGCATATGACGTTTAATTCTCTAGCCTGAGCTAGATTAATGGTAACTTGAATCTGAGTGGTCTCTATGGACAAGGCTTTTTGTTTTTATTTATAAATCCCATCTCCTACATCCAAAAACATGAGCACAAGTATACAGCACACATGGAGAAGGGCAGAATCCCCATTCTACTCCAAATCAGCAGGATCATTGGACTCCTCACCCATCCTACTTGAGTTACAAATATGTAACGGCAGTATTGCAATACTAAAAAAACCCAAAAAAAAAAACTACATACTACTTCTTTTGTGCTACTAAACCACTTTAAGCCGAACTCAAGTCAGATATAAAAACACAAATACAGCTCTGAATGTATTAATATGTCCTTACAGTGGTTGCAAACTCCTACATATATCCAATGAAGTGACTGGCCTTAAGCCATATGCAGATATTTGCACTCGTCTATCTGCAGTCTTCTCTTCTCTACATCCATTCAGAATTTATACAGTTTGTTTAAGCTTTTGGAAATCAGGGGGCTGGGACTTGAAAACTGCAGAGCTCAGTGAGGAGAGCTCTGAGAGCTGATTGGAGAGAAGAGACACACCCCCTTCACACAGCACACATGAACAGAGCTAAGGCTTTAAATCACAGGCTGCAAGGTTCTTCACCTTTGTTCTTTTAGTGTCAACAAAACTTGTCAGAAGTGATTCACGCTGATAGCAGATAAATGGCACTTAGTGCTCTTAATTGAGACAAGTAGAAACTATAGAGGGATATGCTTTGTTCATATTTCTTGTGTGAGGTTTACAACTACTTCCGAATTATTTTTTTTTAATTCAAGCATTAAGTAGCTAAAATTAACTTGGTATCAACCTCTTGTAGTCCCCTCTCAGGCAGAGTGCAGACTGGAAAAGAGAGAAGCAGCACAAGGAGTCAATACATTGTGCTGCAGTGTTCAAGTGCTAACAAAGAGTATGCTGATAGGATAAGAACACCGAGTGACAGACAGATAAGACAATCAGTCTGTTGCTTCTCCTTATACTGTATTCTTATTATACAATCACAGGCTGGGGGAGAGACAAGACCCGTATGTTACCTAACTGCAGCTGAGAATAATCAAGTCTCCTGCGCTGCTAGATAAAGCCATTTGTAAATCTCAGAGAGAAATACAACATAAAACCACTCCTATACATGTATTTCATCTGTGTATTTAACTTTCTGCCTGGAGTTCAGCTTTAAATATCCCCAGCCCCAAATTCAGCTTTTAAACTCGGCCTCGCTGCCTCCACGGTTTTGTAAACATGGTCATTCCTGCTAATATGGGCACCAAAAAACTGTAGAGGGACGCCATTCTATCAGCTAAACTTAATGGCAATCTTCACCCCCAGCTGTCACCAAAACAATCCTTTTCTGAATGACATATAGATCATTTCTACATGTTATATATAGCTAAACCACTAATGTCACAAACATGACCCAGCACCGAGCACTGTCAGCTCCTGCTCTAAACACAGATATGGGACTTTTAAACAATGCATTTTTAAATCACATACGTTTTCATTTAAACTTTGTACATACCGAGATACTTAGAAAGAATGTGCACGCAAAATGCAGGAAAATAGCTATTAGAGCTTTAAATTCTATGTACAGAATCATAAACCTCATTACAACGTTTGTTTTACAGGTGGCTAAAATAGTTTTTATGATAGCATGTGCATGAACACCACAAACCACTTCCGAAGCAGCAAGTGTGGATGCTGACTAAGCAAGCAAGGTGTGTCACTGTGTTCTGCTTGAAGACCTCACATGGATGCTCATACTGCACCAGAAGCATTTTCTATTAAGACTAAAGCTCTAGTTTCAGTAGCTCCACATCAAGAATATTTCCAGTTTTTAAATAGTCAGGCAGACATAAGCAAATACGAGACATGTATATGAGCTACTTACCCAAAGAAATACAATTGTATATTAAGTCCATTGATATTAAAGCCTTTAATTGAAAATATTTAAGCCTGAAATCTATCAGCAAACACTTTCATCAGAGCTAATAAACATTGTTTACAACTGTGTTGTTTGCTTTTCAGCAAAAGTTTATGAACCTGAATCTCACTCAAATGTCTCCCACCGCTTTCGAAGCTGTTCTACTTTACCAGGAGTTGGTGTTACTGCTTGTTTGGTTTTACTGAGCAGCTCTTCGAAAGGATCCTTGGGCTGACCTGGTTTGGATGGGAGTAGAACTGGGTCTGGTAATTTAGAAGGTCTGGGAGGAATGACTGGATATTCCCTAGGCTTGCCATCTTGGGGTTTAGAGAGTGGCTGAGTCACAGGAAAAGTTCTTTGTCCTCTAGGACCGATAGCCGATGAAACATTCTGAGTTGGTTCTAAGGGTATGTGACTTTGATGTATTATTGGATTGGCTGGTGAACTTGAGGGTGCTTGACTTAAAAGACCACTTCCTGGAAAACCTGGAATAGGGCGTCGCTGACTGTGATAAAATACACTTCTGGTGAAAAGAGGGTTAGAAACAACTGGTGGAGTGAATGGTCGTGCTGTGATACCTATGATGGACACTGGCTGGTCAGGTGGCATTACTTGGATAAAAGGATTAAGTGGTGAATGTACAAATGAGGGTTGTGGGTTTGAACCCCCAGCTGGTGAGGGAAAACTGTAGGAGCAAATTCACTTTGCAATGGAGCATAACATGGAGTATTGGAAGGATGGGCCACTTCGGAGCTCTGGATATTCCCAGCAACAGTAGGCAAGCTTTCGCTCTGCCTTTGATCTGTTTTTAAAGGATCCAAAAGACTTAGAATATCATCATTTAGGTAAACATCTGTGGAAACTTTGACAGGTTGCAGAAGGTCCATAGAACTGGAATCAGGAACTTGTCTGTTGCTGTCGGCTGCTAGCACTTCCGCAAAAGACCCTGTTGCTGTTTGAAGAGGGAAGCCCATACTTTCCCCAAGTGAATGTTTCCCTGGCTCTGTCAATGCTGGAGCATTCTGCTGTTTAGATTGTCTGGGTGCTGGTGGAGGTGGGACAATACCCAGCTCTGGAGTCTTCCTTCCATGTGGTCGTGGGATTGTGATACTGCTTTGGTTGCTGCTGAATGGTCCCTCTTTTTCTATAGCAAATGATATAATCTCTCTTTGTGGGGTGCTTGTGTCACTTCGGGGGAAGGTCTGGTATCTTTCAGGTGAAGTTTGAATGTACTTATTTGGAATTGCCATATCATCCTGCCCCATGCCCCACAATTTGTTGTAATGATGGTTGTGCTTCATTGTTGGCATCAAACGATTTCTCTCTGGGACTGTAAGATCCATTCTCTGTCAAAGGAGATTGTGTTAACATTTATAAAATAAAGCCAATTAAAATATTTTGCTCAGAATTAAAACATTTAAAAAGTATAATTTGAAGGGCTATCACTCTACCACAATCCTAGAAGAGATTTGTGGCAGATACTTATCTCTCTTATTTTCTCTGCTGATTTGTAACTGGCTAAAGAGTTACTGCTGTAAGGGACTACAAGGCTTATCTAGGCAGATACAAATCAATGGACTGTAAAGTCATCAGCAGCTGCAAGAAAGCACATCTAAAAGTCCCTGTGTGGCAGTTTAAAGTGTCATAAATCCATTTACTATGTGGTGCACAAGCAAAGTAAAAAAGGATTTTTTTTTTTTTGTTTCTTGAGCAAGCCAAATCCTCCATTTGTACCTCACATGATTCCCCTCCCAAACATTGCAACCTAGAGAGTTTCAGCAGCTGAGGCAGTGTTGTCAGCCCACAAAGCAGTGGGCGGGGCTAGGTGTTGCAGCTACTGATTATTAATGTTTCAGGTTTTTGAATCAGCACCAACAATACTGATAACCACTTCTCATCCCATACCCTACATGAGGGTGACAACACTGCCCTGAACCCAAGAACAGTGCAGCAATGTTATCATTCCATCACATAAAGCTGCATGAGGTGGACTTCATTGGTAGAACCACCAGGTATTTGTGTGACTACTGGATAACTGTAAATGCAGATGGACTTATAGTTAGGCAAATGCAGCACATATTTTTTTCCAATGGGGAGGGGGGGGGGACATAACTATATTTTAAATAACATGAGTTGCTATTAAAGTTGGTGATTCTGCAGCTATCTTCAAACACTGCAAGTCAATTACTTAGCGTCTGAGCTACAAATCGCTTGGAATTTCAACAACACATACTGTACCCCCTTATTGACTGCAACTCACTTTTACTTGGCTATCAAAATGCTAAGGAGAGCAATTCTGTAGCTGCAATAAAATAACAGTATGTCTGGGCCAAGACTGACCTTACACAGCCCAAAACCCTTCAGCTGACTGTACCAGCAGTTGCCTGTGGACCTCCATTCATCTCTAAAATGAATTAGAGGAATTAGAGGGATTCTGCGAATGCCAGACCAGGTCTGGCAATTGGAATTCCAAAAATGCATATGGTTGAATTTATAGTTTACTAATTTGAAGACCTGCCCCAGTATATGCCATGTGCTGTAGGAACCTCCAGAGATGAAGAATGGCCCACAAACAGTCACTGTCAGCTGTCAACATCTGAGAGTTAGCATGAACTGAGTGCTAGTGCTAGATTATCAGTTTCATGCCCGTGCAAAGTAAAACATACAATTTATGGAAGATGGCCATCAATCCTGAAATAGCTGTATGTGGTTTTGAGCATATAGATTCATAATATTAGGTTGTATCTGTGGTGTAAGCCAACATTTCTGGATGCTCAGTTGACCCAATAGAAAGAAGGAATAAGTTGAGGGGGTACTCATTTCCCTAAGCCATTCCATGATTGTAATGTTATTATTACTGACTTACCGAATTAGGTTGATTTGTTTTTATCAACACAGATGAGTCATCATTCAAGGTTTTATTTATTATAATACTATTGCCAACCAGAAAGCAGAGCAGCTTGGAACAACAGTCTACTTTTAAATAAAACATTAGTGTTCAGGTTGGTATTTCTCATAAATACCTCTCATTTTAGCATCCTTCACTGCATAGCTACTAAACATTGTAATTTATTTTTTTCATGTGGTACCATGAATTGTATGCACACCTGATAATCAAATGTGAAGTGGTCTTCATGGTCTTCTTTGGGAGTTCTGAGATCTTCAAGACTCTTGGCTTGACTCAGAAGTGGTGGCTGTGATTCTATACCTATATTACTAAAAATATCCTCAAGAAGATTTATATCTGTATTTGGTTGCTCTTGTTCAGTCATTGAGTCGCTCTCCTTTTCTGGGCTAATCATTTCATCACCATCGGGGTCTGATTCCTTCAAGGTTCGATATTGCTGAGGCCTAGCAAGTGCAAATAACATGGGTTAGTGCTTCTCAAAAACAATATATAACTTATCCATAACATTAAGAATATATTATTCAGTTATCATTATCATTTAGTTCTCAATAACATTTCTGTACTGAATTTCTAAATTTAAATACAAAGTCAGTACAAAGTGCTCTACATATTCTGAAAGAAGAGATAGTTGAAGACAGAGACCATTCAAAAGGAGCAGAGAAGATAAAGTTTTCAGAAAAGGCAGACACAGGATCCTCCTCCTGCAGGAACTCATCATCAGAAGAATCTTCAGAAAGGAAGACAGTATAGTGGCGTGTGGGCTTCACAACGCTGAGAAAATAGGAAAAGGAGGCAGTTAGTCCTCAAGAAATTTAACAAAGCATGATACATGATTTTGAGATCTTTGTCTCTGGACAACATAAAGGATTTCTGGCAATGTACGCATAGTAGCGATTTTTATTCCTGTGTCCCCACTGGGATTCATCCTCCCTATTTAATCTGGTGTTCACTATAAACCCTCATGCACACTTGACTTTTTTACTGCTGGTGTTTTTGGCTTTTGATGTTTTTTTCTACAGCTAGTAAACCCCCCAGTATGTTATCCTATGTGTTCATGCACACATAGACTGTAATCAACATTTTGGTTGTTTTTTGGCTGGAAAAAACCCCCAGGACTAGTGGGTTTCTAGAGGAGTTTTTTAGCTGCAAAAACACTCTAATGCTGAAAAATGCTAAGAAACTCACATTTTTAACACGAGTTTACACAGCTAACATTACCAGCGTTATTAAAACTTCAAGTGTGCATGAGGGCTAACAGGAAAAGAGAGTGATGGGAAAACAAAAATGTCTTCACCAGGAAGAGAATAGAGAAGAATCTGACACTGGGGGCACTTCTACGGATGAGGATATCCCCTCATTTTGGAGATTTCCTCTAACTTCCTGCTTCCCCAGCACAAAAACTGAAGATATATCTCCTCAATGGGACATAGCCAGCAAAAAACCCCACAGAAGTTATAAATACAGATTCTATCCAGAGCTAAAAATAAACTTTAAACTTTACATACACATTAATGCAAAAAAGAGATTCCCCAACACTATTTAATTTTGACTGTTTAGTCCCCCACAGAAAAAAAAAAAAAAAAAAAAAAGAAACTTTTTCGTTGTACATGCATGTTAAGACTCTCCAGCCAAATCATTTCAAAGATTTTGGTAGGGTCAGGCAGCACGTGACTCATTTGAGGATAAGGAAATGTCTAATCACCTTATATGAGACATCTGTAATCTACAGCATGACTGCTAAACACCCATTACAGAACAATACATGTATACAAGAGATAATTGACATAATATATCAATGTATCTATAATAAGAGATGTCTGAATGAATCTACAGCTACTGCTAAGAACAAATCTGCACTTTAAAATTACATTCAGAAAGTGTTAGTTATTTGTGAATTATTGTCTGTCATATGTTTCTACTGTATTGTATAGGGATAAAGGTGATCCTTAATATATCCTACATCATAGCAATATAATATAATGAAATAACAATAATAAGAGTGTTTAAATTAGTTAATACATATATACATTATCCTAGATTAAGGTCTATTACATTAGACATGGCTATTATTGCTAGCATATATCATTAAGTGAATATATTTTACTCCATTAGCAGCTAAGATGGCTTCTGCAGCTACCAAAGGCTTATGCAAGATATTTTATGTAAGTTGTTAAAAACTGCCGAGTAATGATGAATGTTTGATAAAATGTCTCGTTAAGATATTCTGAAGTGTGGTAGACAAATATTCTGGAGTGCAACTGATAAGCATAAAGGTGGGCAACAAGCCATAAAAAACCCTATAAAAGTATGGACTGTAATCAATCTAATCAGAGCATCTGATGGGCAGGGCATGGGTGCTCTCATACAGCTGTATTATCAATAAATATATGATTCGGAGCTCTCGTCTGCAACGTTGTTCATTTCAGGCTTAAATCAGTATGTTTTTTGTTATTTTCCTGAGTGCCAAATTCTCTAGGTCTTTAAGTGTCAGTGTTGTAAAATCTGGGTCCCAGTTTATCTGTGTACCATTCTCCTGCTCTGCATGTCTCAATAAGCCACTGTTCTAGACCTCCACATGTTGATGTGCCATTGTTCAAGGCCTCCATGTGTGAATGTGCTTAGTTCTATGCCTCCACTTTGCAAAGTATGCCTTTGTTTAGGCCTCTATGAGTAAATGTGCCATTGTTCTAGGTGTCCATATGCCATTGTTCTAGGTCTGCACCTGTGAATGCTCCATTGTTCTATGTACACACATGTGCATGTGCCATTATTTTAGGTTTGCACGTGTCATTGTTCTTGGCCTGTATATGTCAATGTATCAGCCATGCCAGTGTGCAGGGACAAGAAATATTATTAAACATCATTCTCTAGTTACAAAAAGAGTAGCACTATACCTTCTATGTCTGGAAATATATATGAACTCCCTCAATTCTGATACATGAACAAGATAATGAACCAATTGAAATATTTGCATAATGAGACATGTACAACAATAACAACAATGATTCTTGTTATTGATAAATATAATTTTTTCTATCAACTATCTAATGCAATTCAATTAATCAGTTGGACATCTGAGATCAGAACGATTCAACACTTGGCACCTTACTGCCACTCTGCTAAGAGCCTTGGATCCTGTAAGACAGCCTGCAGGACAGGAGCAGTGTTAAAAATCTCAGGACTGTCCCACAAACATTCAGGATGCTTGGTAGCTATGAGAATGCCCAACTGCAACCATAGTCTATATTGAAGGTAATGAATTCATGATGTGGAGATATTGAGGTGTTGAATACCCTAAACAAAAGTGTCTATAAAGTAAGATATTTGGGAAATACTCAAAAAAGCAGGTATAATATGACTGCAGGTGAATTCAGAACTTCAGACAAAGTGGCAGATTGATTTATGGGTTCTGCATGTATTTTTGCATTTCAGATCAGGTGGAGGTATACAAATGATATGCATTCAGAACTTTAAAGTTTAGGCAGGCAATGTGGGGTATACTGCATGCAGTGGGGGTGGATCTAGCATGTCATCCTAGATTCGGCACTGATATGGATGGGTGTTTTAGAGGAGATGGGTTTTTCTTTTTTTAAATGAAGAGGTTAGGAATGCTGTGGTTACAAAAGTTTGTGGAATCCCTTGCTGCTATCTATATAGTTTTATTTTTTACATTGAAATAACAGCTCCAGTTTTCCTGAATCCTACTACACCCATTACAAATAGTTATTATAACAGCTGCCTACAACTGTCAGAGCTCTTCCAAGTGGCTCCTTTAACGATCTTTTCATAAATCAAAACTCACTGTAGTCTTGAATCTCATGACCATGTTCTGACATGTCTAAGATCTCTTCAAACACTAAGGGGCTCATTCACAGTGCAGATCAGGTATTGCTATCTGGTTTACTCACAGAGCATCTGCATTTAACAACTAATTTGAAAAATGCAAGGTGCGGTGTGAAGCCTGTAGGGAACACCCGCTGATTGGAGGAGAGTTTGGTCACATGACTTTGACAAGTCATGCAACCAGGCTGACTTCCCTACCAAAACATTTTGTTTCTATTCCTTGAAACTAATGGAGCTGAGGTTGTGATTTTTTTTTTTTTTTTCTAACAGCAGCATATGGACGCAGTAAGGGCTGCTGTAAGGACTACTGCTTTAAAGATGTGCCTCTAAGAGACTGATTGTACACAACCACAAATTATTAACACTGCTTGGATTTGATGGGACTTTTGGAGCTAAACTATCATTAATTACTGTAAAAAAAAAATAAAATACCTGACTTTATACTATATGGAAGTTTTTACATTTGCCATGAGTTTTCCTATACATTAATCTTGAAGAAAGCAGAATTCTTCATCAAGCCAAAATTGAAGAAGTTATATTGTATCAGTCTATAATTTTTTTTAAGCAAGGCGTAAAACTCCTAGAAAACTTAAACATTTTCTACTACTGACATATAAATTTTATTTTTGCGCTAAGCTCAGTATGTCAAACACACGTCGTTATTGATCGAGGCCACTGCCCATAATGCACTGCATGTTTCCTCTCTGTCCAAGTGTTCACCCTCCTTGTGTTAACACCTGCATGTGACACTAGTGACAGCTTGCTTCTCTTTAAATGCCATGTCAGACACACATCCTGCTATAGCCGCGGGTAGCGTGGGGCCTGTGTGCATTATTACAACGGCATGAGTTTATTTTTAATGAGGACGATATGCATGGTGAGAATGAACGGACAGCCCTGCCTCACATCAAATTGGGCAGAAACAGGAATCACTGACAAATGTAGATATTTCAAATTTAATTGACATTTAAATTTAAATCATAAGATTAAAACTAGGTAGTAGAATAAAACACAACTTGCATTTACGGAACATTACTGCTTGAGGTACTATTATTTGAAATAAATGCTGATTACTGTAGAACAATAAACATGTTCCGCTGAGGAGGGAGGAGACCGCTTTAAATTACAGTTGTAGTGACAGCAATCAAATATGAGCTTGCAGAAGGAGTGTAGTCAGAATAATGAAAGATGATTTCTAATGGGTCAGCATGAGATTCTACACATTGAGCTTAAAGCGTATCTAAACACAGGAACCAAAATGTAATATAGTACAGCTTACCAGTCCTTAGATGGAGTCACTGCATTTGTTTTCTTTTTTCAGAATTTTTTTTTTTAACATAGTTGAGACACAAGTCCATCTTATTCAACCAATAGAAAAAATAAATAAATAACCTCTATGTACGCAATCCTATACCCACAGTTGATCCAGAGGAAGAAAAAACAAATCCTTCCTGACCCCAAGGAGGCAATCAAATATTCCCTGGATCAAGACTCTCTAGTGCTATTACTTATAAATGCTAATATCCAGCTATATTTTGTGTATTTGGGAAT